GATATTTATAAACTGAAATAGACGCGAAAAGTACGCGATGTCGTCGACGACATACTCGACCCCAAAGAGTTAAAAGCATATAACTAAGATCGGTGGAGCTCATGGGAATATGGTCGATTTCTGATCCCCTCAAATTAACGTGATCGAGGCCGATCGATCGATCGGTGCACCCCTAATTTGAATAGCTCCTTTATCAATATTATTAGTATTATCAATATTGTTTTTATAGCTCAGCCTGGCAGCACATGTACCTAAGCTGACTCCTTTACAACTGTATGCTTGTAATATATAGCGCCTGATGCACAAAATGAGAGATGTTCCACAGAGCAGGATTTCTGAGCTATCTTCATTAACTTAAGATAGAAGATAGAAGAAATGATTGTCTAATAATAGTTCAGGTATGGAGCATTCCTGCTGGACAATCATGACTTAAGTTAACCCAGCTAACCGAGAAATTCTGCTTCATGGAACACTCCCCCGGAATTTCTTCATTAGCCCATAACTTAAACAAAATGTAAGGATTGTCAGGTAGGAATGTCACCTTACTGTTCTTCCCATTGGACACTTTTCATATTTGGGCTTAACTTATCCTTCTTGCTTTGTGGAATGCCCCACGGGGCTTCTTGCATAGCTGGATAATTTGTTGGATTTAAGATAGTCTGGGTGAAATGTAAGTGAATGACAATAAAGGCCATTTAACGTGGGGTACCTTAAATCTGACCAGTTATCTGGCTAAGCAAGAAATCTGGCTTTGTGATTCAGGACCATTACCTGCCTTGCTTGTACATCGCTTTGGACAAAAGCATCTGGCAAATAATTACAAAGCTTATGTATTATTATCATTACATCTCCCCTCAACCCTTTGTCCGAAAAGCAGCTGCATAAAATACATAAACTTTTCAGTTGTATATAGTTATTATTGGCTTTGTGGATATTTATTGGTTGTCTTTTCAAAGGATCAGTTCCTTCCCCTTTCCATTTTATACCCCTCAATAAACCTGACCTGTGGATTAAAGTGTAGTTTGCAAATTCACATTTGATGGATACATATTGGTTTTTAATAGTATGTACAATTTTGTCCACTTTAATAGCACATAAGATAAGTATATCGTGTGCACTCAGCAGGCGTTACGCTCAGTAATGGGATTTTAAAGCAACACATAACCAGGAGAACGAGTCCAGAGCGGATGTGGTCAAGGGCAGCTTGTACTGAAATTTTACAACCAGCAGATGACGCCAAAAGAACAAAAAAATAGCCAAGTAATTCCTTAAATTCTGCGTTGATACTCTATATCGACAAATGTATTGGGACACCTGGCCATTACACCTACAGGAACTTTTATGACACCCCATTCTAAATCCATAGGCATCAGTATGGAGCTGGTCTCCCCTTTGCAGCTATAAAAGCTGCCACTCTTCTGAGAAGGCTTTCCACAAAATTTTGGAGTGTGTCTTTGGGACTTTTTGCCCATTCATCCAGAAGAGCATCTGTGATGGTGAAGGCCTGGCTCACAACCTCTGCTGTAAGGTGTTCCAAGGGGTTGAGGTCAGGGCTCTAGAATACTCCAAAATGTCTTGGTATGCATATCAAGACTTTTTTTTGGACAATTCTATGCTTCCAAATTTGTGGAAAGCTTGGGTAAGGTCCTGTTCTGTTCCACCATGACGGTGCCCCAAGTGCAGAAACCAAGGTCCATGAACACATGGTTTCATGAGTTTGAATTTGACTGGCCATCACAGAGACCTGATCGGATGGGACGGCACAGAAGTTCCTGTGGATGTAATAAATACCCAGGTGTCTCAATACTTTTGTCGATATACCGGAGCATATATATTAAGGCAACAGGACGTGGGTAGTGATTTCTTTTTCTTTTTTTTAGTTTAACTGCGAGTTAGAACACTAAACTCAGATTTATATAGTGTTTACTTCGCCATAAGCATTTTATATTTCGCCCAGGCAGCAAAAAACGGCGATTCTACGCCTTCCCAAAAGCAGATACGATAACTTCACGACACGCAAACAACCGCAAAGCACAAGCCGAAATATCCTCAAAAGGAAACATAGTCTCTTACCTGCAAATGCAGCGCAGTTGCCCTTGCTGAGAGGCAGACATGTACAGACTCAGTTGCGGTTATTCTGATATTTCGCCCTCCACGGTTTACCCTTACAGCCATGAAAAATCAGAGCTCAGTGACTAAGCCTAAATTGGTGACCTATTTAAGCGCTTCCCCTCGCTTTAGACAATTTTGCATTTTCATTTATATCTACAGCTTTTTAAATTTAACTTGCTTCCAGAATTACTTAATATTGTTCCTGCATTATATCCCTGCATGTGCTCTGTTTTCGGGAATTTGATGTTTGACAAATGCACCCCTTAAATGCATTATGTATGCATACACGTGAGAACCAGTGTTTTGCCATATAGTTTGACCGTCAAATACCCGTAATATCCCATATTAGTTTTGCAAAGGCGAAAACGGAAATTATTGCTGCTGTAAGTATGCGATTACTCTCGTATTTTATTTCAGGTAAATTAAAGAAACGGATTGGACTGTCAATGCTGTAATTATAAAGCAGCAATCACCGTCAGATAGCGCGTTTATTTTGTCATGCATTTACCTGGTCTATCTGGGTAGGAGGGTGGCGATAATCAAACCGTGCTACTCTGGGCCACCCCGCTGGTGCGGAGTGATAATGCAAGAATAACACGAATATATGAATATATGATATGTTAATATAAATAATAAAAGCTTATCAGCTACGACGAATACATTTCTTGTCCCACGAGGACATCGCAAAACGTAATAGCTGCTGTTTTAAGACAATATGCTCAATGCGATTAGTTTGCAACCACTGGCCGCTTGGTGGCACAAAAATATTTATTTCAAATGAAAGTTTTGAACACCTTTTTACATCCATGCCTAATGAAATAAGGGGTGTTTTGTACGCAGTAGCGGGTCCTATCCAGTACAAAGCAGGTTTTTCTAATATAGTGGCGATTTATACATTTTCCTGTTTCAACCATTGCAAAAACCTTCACCGCATTAAAAAATAAGAAACATAACTTACGGTGTGCATTTTAGAAGCTATAAGAAGGTGGATGTCACAGTGCGGTAATTATTAATCGACACATTTACACGAGCCAGACCTAAAGGCAAACCAAAGTCCAGGGGTGATTAATCCACCGGCTGCCTATTGACATAAAAAGAAATCAAATTGCATAACAAATGAACCTAGGGGCCCAGCAATGTTCGTGCTGGGGGGGTTAATAATATCTGCATTCTTGATTCCCATCCTTCCCATTGGGATGATCCAGTCTCTAAGAGTTACCGGATTTTCCTGCTCTTGACACCAGTAGTTTCGTCTCCTTTAGTCTCCGACATATATTTTTTAGCGAAATTGCTAACACAATCAATTTTTTGAAGCAGGAAATCCTTCATGTCCCTGGAAGCGTGAGGCAACAGCTATGCACAGTGGTGCCCCCATCTTCCATAACCCCTTAGCCAGCATAGGTTTGTGATGACCCTGGGGGTGATGTGTGGCTCAGCTGGTTAGGATGTTGTAGCTACAGTTGGAAGGTTGCTGGTTCAAGTCCCACCAGTGAGTGAGGTTACTATTCATCACAGGGCAGGCACATACAAAAGGCAATGGGGTAAGAAACCCACACCCACTGCATGCATATAGAGACAGGATTTAAGCCCCCAGCCTTGGAGGTATGAAGATATCATACTACCCACTCTTACCATTAAGCTGATATATTAACGCACAAATGTTGTCATAATAAATTTTATACTCTTGACTTCATAGTGCTTAGGGAGCAGCAAAAAGCATTTTAGCAGCATTAGCAGGTGGAGTCAAGGAGAACATTTCGCAGATATCTGTGTGATTCCCTGTGACGAACTGTCATCCCACTCGTCATCTAGACTGGCTACACTCCCTGCTTCCTGGGTTACAGGCCCCCATCACTGGGATAGACGTCTCCATGAAACTGGACAAACTAGGTAACTGAACTGAACTTAAATTATGTCACCGATGTTCCTTGCAGGAAACCATCCACCAAAAAAAGTATTATTTCACACCTCCAACAAAAAAGTTTATCTATAATAGCAATGCTACTTCATGTTTGCTAGGGTGACCTTTTCAGATGATCACAATTGAGTTAAACGAGGTCAGTCCTGGAGGGCAAAACAACCAGCGACTCCACAAGCTTACAGCAGTTTTACACAGCCACCCCAGGTCCCTGAAGATGCCTCCCTGCTGGGGGTCCATTACCATGCTCCTCAAATGGTTTAGATCAGGGTTCTTCAACTCTGGACCTCAATTCCAAATCCAGGCCATGTTTTCAGTTCTCCCAAGTAGTTGTTTAATAATGACTGATTCTGATTGGTCAGAGGCTTCACACCTGACTGACAGGTAAAGGAAGGCTGGAAAACCAGCAGTGCTCAGACCTCGAGGACCGTGAGTTGAATAACCCTGGTTTAGATTCATCAAGAAGGACAATATGACCGACCAGGAAATGAGAAACAGATCAGTTTCATGTGGTTCCTCAACCCATCTTGTTTCCTTCCTTCCACTGTGGCGTACACACAAAGTTTCCTGGTCCCCATAAGGGAAAACTCAATTTTCTAACAATCAGAAAACTAAAAATGCAACAACTCCTGTATTTTGTTTGGTTACTTATGGTTATGGTTAGGGCTGGGTAGAGGTTAGGGTTGTCATAGTTAGCATTAGCATTTTGCCCATAGAAATAAATGAGCAGTCCTGACAAGGATATAATTACTTCTGTGTCTGTGTTTTTGTGTAAATTTTATGTCTGTATATCGCCTTGCTGTGATCTTTTTTTTTGTGAATCCCTGTGAATCCCTGTTAAATTCTGTTCCGCCACTCAGTTTCAGATACTATATCTTGAAGAAAGAGAATGATCCAGTAAAACAACATCCTTTATTTCAAATGTAATCAAAAAAAAAATTATAATAAAATAACAGTAACAGAAAATCGACAGACAGCTGCAGTAACCGCCTGACTTGGACGTCTCTCGCTGTGTCCTGGACTTGGACGGCGAACATCAAGCGTGTCCCGCAGCTGAGGATTTGGATCATTTGATTTTCTCCCGAAATACAGCCAGCCGCAGAACAGAAGTGTCAAAGTGTCAGTCCGCTTTAGTCCATCTTAAACTCGTATTTCACATAAGAGAATAAACCCACTTCAATAATATATTCTATTGCAGTAACACCAAAAACAGTGTTTTTTTTTTTTTAATCTAAAAGCATGTTAGGATAAAGTTGGGTGAAAAAGCAATCAACCAGGTTAAGTGATGCAGGAGATTACAGCAACAAGAAGGTTAGTATTTGAGACTCACTGGCTAAAAACACCACCCAGTATTATTCAGCCTAGTCTGAAAGATTATTGCAGCTTGCACCCCCATCAACCACGCTATTCACAGGAATCACAGCGCCCCCCCACGGTATATTTCTATATATATTTTGTGCAAATTCTGACAGTGGTTAACATTTACAGTTTCAGGTAGATGTACCCAACAGACAGATGCCTGATGTCACCCGGGGCTCCCAGAAAGCCTGGAAACACGGAACCAGCACCGTGTTCCGTCTCCCTCCCTCCTTTCCTCTCCGCTTCCAGGTTCAGGAAAGTGATATTTTGGGAGTGGGCCGTGAAGTGGTGGCATGTTAAACCGTGCTGCACAGAAAGAGCTTCAGGGACGGAACGGCTGAAACAATATCACTGATATATGTCTAGCTGTTGCATCCATCCATCTTCTAACTACAGACACAGACAGAAATACATTATGGGAAATACGGAGGCAGCGTTACGTTATTACATAGTTTTGATTTTTCAATTTTGTTTTAAATTTTACATAAAAAATTAAATTTAATTTGAAATCCAGTTTAATTTTAGTAATTTTTCAGTGTGATTTTATTCGTTTTCATTTCAAAGATTCTTTTTTAATCATTTAGTTTAAGTATAAATTTTATTCTTTATTCCTAGGGATAGACTGACGAGCTGTTTTATGTGTCTGATCTTTAGAGAATCAAACATAAATACACAGTGAAATTTATGTACTTGTGTCCTCAAAATGGGCAAGAAATGCTTCTGGAATTTAATGGTAATTAGCTAAATAACAAAAAAAATGGCAACAGAAAGTATTTGATGTTTGTTTTTTATTTCAGTTTTGAATGCAATATTTATTTAGTTTTCGTTTAGTTGTAGTTTTTCATTTTCATATTTTATTTTTCATTTTATTTTCATGTCTTATTTTATTTTTTTGTTTTGAGAACTTGTTTTCGGTTTAGCTTTCATGAGTGATAGAGATGCCAATTAACCTAAATGTCCTTGGACCGGAGCAGGAAACTGGACCCAGGGGAAACGATGGGCTACAGAGTCAAGCCCCCCACCCTGTGCGTGGGGCAGCGATGGTGAATGCAGGGGCAAACGGGTCACCAAACGGCACCTGCAGGGCATAAGTCAACTAGAAAAGCCAAAGAAGTCCCTGCTGAAAGTGGCTTTATTTACAGCTGGTTAACTGCCTTTATGAATGATGATATATTTTTCCACGATTTAAGGACCTCAAGTAGCAACCATTTTGTTCGTTCCCAACAAAACTGCTCTTCCAATCAGGGAGTACCCCTGCCTTGTGCTCTGTGTCGCCTGGGGTAGGCTCCAGGCTCAACCCCCCCCTACACACTTCAAAGATGATGGCTGAAAGATGGATGGATGGAACGCTGATATGTTGCCCAAATGTTCACCAGGTCATTTCGATCTCTCCACTTATTCTATGTTCGTTCATCTATGTAAGAAATGACTTGTGTGTGGCTCTGTGGGTTAAGACCCTGTGATCGGAAGGTCGCTGGTTCAAATCCCGTGGATGGCTGAGTAATCTCACCATAAGGTCCTTGGGCCTGGCCCCTTAACCCCAGTCGCTTCAGGGATTTTCTGAACCTGCTTTCTTGGGGAAAAAAAAATCTAAAACGTACAATACTTTGGATAAAAACATCTGCGAAATAAATGAAATGAAAATGAGAAACCATTATTGCTGGAAAATGAGTTACGGTGGAGACAGATCCGGTCTGTCAAAACACTGGCTGACTGGGTCCAAAAACCTGAACCTGTAAATGTTACTCTAGTTTCTGTCTGTCTGCTCTCGTCGTATTTCAACGCTGGTCTCTAATGCCAGTCTGAAGCTGGGGTCAATAGTGGCTGTGAGTGAGGGGTAGAGCCATAGAGGTACAGCCATAGGGGTAGAGCCATAGGGGTAGAGCCATAGGGGTACTCTCTGGGTGCCTCTAGCACTGTACCTCCCAGGGATCCTGCAGCCCCCTCACAACCCTAACCCCCCCCCCCCCCCCCCCCCCCCCCCCCCCCCCCCCCCCACCCCCCCCCCCCCCCCCCCAACTGCCAACCACGGCTTGTAAGAATGTGTGGTGAAAACAAGGGTTGACTGAGCATGACAAAGTCAAAAGCCCTCCTGGACTCCTGTTAGACAGGGGACCAGTTAGCTGGTTTTATAATCTCCCCAGTAAGAAATCGCAGCAGGAAATGCTCAATCCCGCGTCCTGGGGGGAGGGGGGTGGGGGGTGCATGTTGTACTGCGTTGTTCCAGGGAACAGTGTCTGCCACATGAAAAAGTCACGGGAATTGGCGTGATTCTGGGGGATGCAAGTTAAGTGGATGATAGATAAAAAAATATATATTTTATAAGGGAATCCCTGTCACAAAAAACCATTATATGATACATGAAACCTTACACTGTTAATTAAATTCATAGTTGGGACATTTCTTACAGTTTCTGAAAAATAAAATGCACCTAATCCCATCAGGCTTTGCGGCGGCTGGAGGACGATTACGGAGTTGACCACCCTCCCTCCCGAGTCACTATCCGTGGAGTCCGCTGGATAATGCAGCACCACCTGCAGGCGGACGCTGGGCTTGTGAAACCAAACATCTGCTCTCCAGGTCCCAAGTCCACATGTCTCCTACATCTCCACTCCAGCCAGCCTCTCCAACCGCGGTCCATGACGGCTCACACCTCCCGTGCGTCGACGACACCATCCAGAAGTTCAAGAGGCTCTGGTGAACTTGTGAAGGGTAAGGAGTCAGACCTTCCAGGTGGATGTGAGTTTGCTTTGCATTCTGATGTCACCTTCTTCAGTAGTTAGAAGCTGCACCATGTTCCTCTTTCCAAAAAAATAAAAACAGATAGAAGACCAAGCAACCCAATGTATTTCCAAATCCAGTTATGAGCCAGTAGGGTTGTGCTGGCCTTGGGGCTACAAATACAGGGACAGAGAAAGAGAGAGACAGGGCCAGGGAGGGAGAGAGAGACAGAGATAGAAGATGGCGTCCTCAGCACTGCTCTGACACTGTGAAGCCCTCCTTCTCCTGTCCCATGGGCTCCACCTCCGCGTAGGCTGGGTGTCCTGAGCCACGGCGGAACTTCATGGCTGGCCACCTGCTGGGGCGTCTCTGTGGAAGGGTCAGAAGGGGCAAGGGATGGAGACAAGAAGGTCACCTGGTCGGCAGGGTCAGGAGTCCTTGCCTGCTCACCCTGCTCCTCTTGAAAACTCCAAAAACTTGCCTAGACTCTGCATGAACACCCCCTAACCCTAATCCTAACCCTAACCCTAACCCTAATCCCCCCAACCTCAAGGTAGACTAATAAAACCCAGAGTAAAATTAAAACCTGCCCTTCAAACTGTGTGGAAGTCATTCATTTTACAAGCTCTGGAACCAGCAGACTACTTAATACATACTGTTTTTTTTTTTTTATACCAACCTAACTCCTAGTACATTACATTCATGGGAATTCATCTGCAAATCACTGCTTAAAAATACATTAGCGAAGGGTTATAAGAAGAATTCAAAGCTGATAGGAACAGAGAAGTCAATTCATGTTCAAATGCTGACGCAGTCTCTGTGGAATCAGAACAAAGGGAAGTTCAGCTCCAAGGTTTGGCGTGTCATCGATGGGCAAAAAAAATAATGGGGGTACTGTCTCTTTAAAAGAGTAGGGGCGAGGTGGCCTGATGGTGAAGGATGATTTTCTCACATCGCACCACTTTGAGATAATGGGCTTCTTTTCAGTTCTGTAAGCAGTTTAAATTTCAATCAGGCCCACTTTCAGTTAATAACAGACGGCCCTAATTACACAGACTCACTTCATCTTAAATGTGTTCCCAGGAAATTATCATTGGCAGGCAGATAATTGACAGCTACACATTGCCATGTACCTCCAGCTCCGGTAAGATTTAACTCCTGTATAAATATCTCTAGGATATTTATTAGCATGATGGATGTGACAAACCAGCGTTAAAGTGGTTAATGCACCAGGGCGTGAAAGTGTCTGCTGAAAGCTATCTGCAATTTTGGCCAGCTGGGGTGATTCCAACTAGCTGGCAACCTGTGACTGCATCCAGGCAATGTGCTTCTGTCTTTTATACCTCCTGTCCTCAAGGGGGTGCCCTTTAATTCCCCGGACAAAGTTTTTACTTATTAGTTTTAGAACATGCAAAATCTCCCAAGGGATCCAGAAAGGGACATTTTCTAAGACTTCCTTTCTATGCCCCATTGGGGAATATTGCTTCCATAAGCCTGCAACTCCGCCCTCCCAAAAGCACAGGAATAACACCTCTACTTCTTAGATGTATCTATCTGTACATATATGTTTGCCATTGCTGCTGGCGCTGATATGTTTGCATATATACTACATTGGCAAAAGTACTGGGACACCTGCCTTTACACACACATGAACTTTAATGACATCCCATTCTTAATGCATAGGCTGTAATATGGAGTTGGTCCAACCGTTGCAGCTATAACAGCTTCAGCTCTTCTGGGAAGGTTGTCCACAAGGTTTAGGAGTGTGTTTATGGGAATTGTTGACCATTCGTCCAGGAGAGTATTTGTGAGGTCAGGCACTGGTGTTGGATGAGAAGACCTGGCTCACAGTCTCTGCTCTAATTCATCCCAAAGGTGTTCTATCGGCTTGAGGTCAGGGATCTGTGCAGGCCAGGCAAGTTCCTCCACACCAGACTCACTCATTCATGTTCCTATGGACTTTGTGCACTGATGTGCAGTCATGTTAGAACATGAAGGGTCCATCCCCAAACTCTTCCCACAAAGTTGGAAGCAAGAAATTGTCCAGAATGGCTTTGGATGCTGCAGCATTAAGTGTTCATTTCACTGGAACTAACGGGCCAATTCCAACCCCTGGAAAATATCCATCCATCCGTCCATTTTCTCCCGCTTATCCGAGGTCGGGTCGCGGGGGCAGCAGTCTCAGCAAGGAGACCCAGACTTCCCTCTCCCCGGCCACTTCATCCAGCTCCTCTGGGGGAATCCCGAGGCATTCCCAGGCCAGCCGAGAGACATAGTCCCTCCAGCGTGTCCCGGGTCTTCCCTGGGGCCTCCTCCCAGTGGGACATGCCCGGAACACCTCACCAGGGAGGCGTCCAGGAGGCATCCTAAGCAGATGTCCGAGCCACCTCATCTGACTCCTCTCAATGCGGAGGAGCAGCGGCTCTACTCTGAGTCCCTCCCGAATGACCGAGCTCCTCACCCTATCTCTAAGGGAGAGCCCAGCCACCCTGCGGAGGGCCGCTTGCACTCACGATGTCGTTCTTTCGGTCACTACCCATAGACCATAGGTGAGGGTAGGAACGTAGATCGACTGGTGAATCGAGAGCTTCGCCTTTTAGCTCAGCTCCTTCTTCACCATGACAGACCGATGCAGCGCCCGCATCACTGCTGACCCCGCACCAATCCACCTGTCGACCTCCCGTTCCATCGTCCCCCCACTTGTGAACAAGACCCCGAGGTACTTAAACTCCTCCACTTGGGGGAGGACCCCATCCCCAACCCGGAGAGAGCATTCCACCCTTTTCTAGCTGAGGACCATGGTCTCGGATTTGGAGGTGTTGATTCTCATCCCAGCCGCTTCACACTCGGCTGCGAACTGTCCCAGTGAGAGCTGAAGGTCACGGTCCGATGAGGCCAACAGAACCACATCATCTGCAAAAAGCAGAGACCTAATCCTGAGGTCACCAAACCGGACACCCTCAACGCCCTGGCTGCACCTAGAAATTCTGTCCATAAAAACTATGAAAAGAATCGGTGACAAAGGGCAGCCCTGACGGAGTCCAGCCCTCACCGGAAACATACCTGAAAAATACCCCACTATAATCCCCCCTTCGCCAAACTTTACACCTGGTAAAATGCAGTCAGGCAAGTACTGTTCTCCTGGTGACTGCCATACCCAGACTCATCCATCAGATTGCCAGATGGAGAAACGTGATTCGTCACTCCAGAGAACACGCCTCCACTGCACTAGAGTCCAGTGGCGCTGTGCTTTACACTAATGCATCCAACACTTTGCATTGCACTTGGTGATGTAAGGCTTGGATGCAGCTGCTTGGCCATGGAAACCCATTCCATTAACTTCTCTATGCACTGTTCTTCAGCTAATCTGAAGGCCACATGAAGTTTGGAGGTCAGTAGCTAATGACTCTGCAGACAGTTGGCGACTCTGCAGACTGTGCGCCTCAGCATGCATTGTCCCCGCTCTGGGATTTTATGTGCCCTACCACTTTATCGCTGAGTTGCAGTTGAGCCCAATTGCTTCCACTCGCTTATAATACCACTAGCAGTTGACCGTGGAACATTTAGTAGCGAGGAAATTTCAGGAATTGCACAGGAGGCATCCTATCACGGTACCACTCCTTAATTCACTGAGCTCCTGAGAACGACCCATTCTTTCACAAATGTTTGTAGAAGCAGTCTGCATGCCTAGGTGCTTGATTTTATACACCTGTGGCTATGGAAGTGATTGGAACACCTGAATTCAATGATTTGGAGGGGTGTCCCAATACTTTTGGCAATATACTGTATGATCTGTACAGCTGAGGTGTATCTGCATGCAAACAGTGCATCTCCTCCTGAGAGGAAGGGAAAAAGGTTTTTACGTATTGTTTAAAATTTTGATTTGACAGGAAAAGGAAGTTAGCATGGTCACATCCCCACACTGATGCCATCTTAAAGCCCAAACTGTCCTTTAAAAAACAACATGACTTAACAGAGTGGCATGTATAAAATGAGAGATGAGTAAATGTGAATGATGTGTGCTAGTTTTACGTATTTGTAAGTTAACTCTACTTCATCCCGAATTGGACAGTGGCCCCGGAGAAGCAGCATCTCATCAGAGCCATTTGGGGCACAGTACAAAAATGTTTGTGCTCATGAATCCTTTTATGGTGAGATGACAATAGCGAGTTTTGACCTGGAAGATGACAGACTTAGAGCACAAAAAGGATTCTGGCTGTATGAGTTTGCCAACAATGTGAGTCAGACGTAAAAACACTCCTTTGCACATTATAGAGTCAGAGCCCTCAGTTCAGACAGACCCTAGTGGCGATGCCCACCTCGATGAAGAAGATGCTGGGGGCCGACATGGGGTGATGATACATGTAGACGGTGACCAGAACGGCGACGGCCATGACGACCATGACCATGAGGACGCTGACGATGAGACCAGTGTGCAGGCTGCCTGGCTTCTCCGGCGCGGTGCTCTCAGCCGGCGATGCTGGGTGGGGGGGGGGGGGGGGGCAAAGACAGACAGCTCGTGATACGCTCCGAGGGAGGGCTGAAGGATGGAGCTGGAACTCTCAATGGTGACCTTCTCTCAAGCGGATCATAGGTTTCCACCTCCGGCAGAAACGGAAACCTAAAGTCTGTCACTCGGTGCCATTAAAACAGACGGCCAATCCGGTCATCGCACATCAAGATCAATATGGCCGTCGTCTAGCGTGAAATGAGTGTCCCATGTGACAAAAACTTTGCGGTGACAAAATGGTCAAAATGGTGTTCACCGGATGCAGGTTTAAAAAAAAAAAAAATCCTCACAATACTAGTTCAAATATTGGCTGGCAATACATCTAGAAATATACACCACATCTTTGAAATTGTTGCTATGGTTTTCCAAACATAATAATAATAATAATGACACGATTCTTTACCATTTGCATTACGAATACAGGTACAGTAGAATGTCTTCATGTTTTTGATATCCCATCTTATTGAAACATACACACACATATAAAGAGGAAAGTGAAACCTCCCAGCGCAGGGCTGGCCGTTCATCTGGGGTCCCCAGGAGCAATAAGTGGGATTTTATCCTTTATATAGTCTGATTTTTCTCTTTATTCAATGTTCTGAAGACGTCTTCAGAAGCTTTGCTTGATTTGGTATCGAGGAACATTCCTACATAACCAGCGATACTGTAAAGTGTTCAGCCGTACACCTCTGGCCATCATCTTGCCCAGCATTTCCACTTCCCACCACATGAGGGCACTCACTGTATGTTTACTCTTCCCCTCTCTGCCTAAGCAAGTTATTAACTGTTTCATAATCATTTTCGCCACTGGGTCTGTATTGCTGTAAGCTAAGTAAACACAGCTGCATAGGTCCTACATTTTCAGATGGACACTGGTTATTCATTACAGCCATGCAACCCCTACAGGCAAGGAAAAGATGGTGTTAGGTTAACGAAACAGCTAACCTGAGACATGCCTGAGGAATCGCTCAAACACTGTCGGTCTAGAGATGGTAGACAGTTACCCGAACTTGTAAAGCCAGGAAATCCATTAGTTAGTCAGTCTTACAGTTTCAAGATTTGAAACCCAGGGTTTAAAGAATTAAAGCGACCGCAAAAGCAGCTTGCAGGCCAACTCTGCCACTTACAAGCTGAACTCCAAGCCTTGCTGGTCTGAGGGAGCAGAGAAAAATCAATGGTGCCCAAAGAAAACTAATGAGGTGATGATAAAACAAATAGCTACCTATTTCAGGAATGATTGTGTTTCTAATCAATTTTATTGTATTGCAGCTTTCAGTCTTCTAGGTTTAATTAGCAACCAGCAGACCAGATATGTCCTAAAGGTGTTACATTATATTGAATTTGGTAAAAGGGGTTGGTATGTTCCAGACAGACTGGTGAGCCCAGCACAGTGTCCGTTTGGTGGGAGTGGGCCGTCTGTCTAGAAGCCCCACCAGAACCCAACTGGGTTATGCGACCTTGAAGAGAAGTTTCTGCCTGGCTTAAAGGGTGAACCTCAACCTCTCAGACATCCTTCCTACAGAAACATCGTTGGGCAGCACGTTAGGATAGCCCTGTGTCCTCCAGGCCCCCAACACAGACAGGGCCTACAAACCAATCAGGGATAGTGCTGTACCTATTCCAGTATGACCTACAGCAAGCACACAAGTAAGGATTTCATCGTACCATGTGTCATTAAAAAAAAAACCTTTAACCTTGAACCCTGACATGATCTCTTGTAACTGACCTGTACGGGAAGAATCATTCATGCATAGTCAGGAGCTCGGGCATGTTACCAAGCAACAGAAACCGCCATTACCATCACATTACAACACCACTGACACCCCTAGAGACAGAACCCCCTGATCCACAGCTCAAAACATTATATATCCAACAGATGTGTGGTCAGGAAACAAGGATGGTGTGAAAATCACTTTTTAAAAAATCCCGAGAGGTACAAAATGAACGTGTCATTCTCCACGCGCGTGCTTACATCACCACATTTGCCAGATTTACACAAAAAAAACATGCGTTGGTTCCATTGCTCACGAAAACAATCATCCGTCTACAGCGAAATGCGGTGAAAAGGGCCCGTGGACCAACGACACACAGTTTATGTAGTACTCAACCACCGTGCCCCACAACATGCATCTAAAAATCATAATCCAACAAACCACAATGACCGACCGTGCTCAGCAGCTGCAACAGATGTTTATATGCCTCTGTTACGCTCCAAACCCTCAATGCCCCATCAAGCCAATGACATGTGACCGGTGCTCCTAAGACAGATTTTCCTGCAAGAATCAGCAAGCTGCTAGCTAACACTGAAGAGAAACCTAGAGAAGCTGGCCCCACAGCTGACTTACACCTCCACATCATATCCTCATGGGACACAAGCAACCTCAAACCCTCTGGTAGGCTCCAAGTCAAAGCTTTTTCTTTGAATGTCTAAAAATACCAAAACCATACGCCCAGACAACAGCTACACCTTCTCCATAAAGCTACAAGATCTTATGTTAAAAGCAGATGTGAGAATTCCAGTTCTTTAAGTCTGCAGTCTTGGGTTTTAGGCACATCTGAGTAGCTGATCTTCAGTTGAAACAACAGGTAGGAGGATCCCAACCGGCTTCACTCACAGCAGCCTCCCGACATTAAAGGGTCCCCAGGAAGTCCCGTGGGTCCCGAGATGCAGCACATTTCTCCTGAAGGGCTGCGATGTGTGGAGCTGCCAACCCGGACGGACACCACGAGTGGAGACGCCGCCGACCAAGGTCTCGGCAGGGGGAGTAAGACCGTCTGAGAAATGTGTGACGAGATGTGAGGCGCTTGCTGGAATACAGATGGGGTCCTCTGTGTGGGATCGGGATAATGAGCCGTCGACACACAGGAGCTTTTGGCCTGTCTAACTAAAAGCCTGTGACTTTTAGTGCATATGACATCCGCTTGCTTTGTAGATCAGATTCACGAAACCCTTGAAAGTCAGAACTCTTGGTATGCTGAAGCATTAAGAGTTCCCTTCACTGGAACAAACCCTATAAATCAAAACCATACCATTATCCATCCCCCACCAAACTTTACAATTAGCACAATATAGCACAATTTAGTCAGGCAGGTAACGAACGTTCTCTTGGCATCTGAAAAATCCCGACTCATCTATCAGATCGCCAAACACAGAAGCGTGATTCATCACTCCACAGAACTTCCACTGTTTCCACTGCTCCAGAGTACAGTGGCAGTGTGCTTTACACCACTCCATCCTATACTCAGCATACCCTGAGTACCCTACCCACCATGCTGTTCTCCTTTACCACTCACCCGAAGCGGGGTCACAGTCAGCCTAGAGTCAATCTCTTAGAAAACAGGCAGAGGACACAGCGAACAGCGTGCCAGTCTATTACAGGACATACACACACACAATGGGTAATTTTGAATCACAAATTCACCAATACTGCATGTCTTTGGGCTGTGGGAGGAAACTGGAACATCGGGGAAATTCACATGGGATGGGGGCATGACACACTTATGTGGAGTTTAATGAGTGAACGTCCCGGATGGCCTGTGATCTGATTCGGCGAGCACAGGGGGTATCTGGGCTGGCTGGAGTGACCCAGAGAGAGCCCTGAGGTACACCCAAATGAGATTATGTTAGGGAAGCCCAAGCCCATTCCTTTACCAGTGGGAGCTCCTGTCAGATGTAACGGCAACACAATCGGGCAGCAAAGAAAGATGATGCGCTGGTGTGGCAAGTGTGAATGCATCCCTTCATTTGGTGAGTCACAAAACGAACAGGAAAAAAAAAACTTAAGCTAATTTGGGGGGAAAAGTTAAAGGGTAGATATGCACCCTCTTTACTTTAGAAGCTACTGTGGTCTGAGAACCCATATAACCCATATTCATAAGGAAAAGCTGAATCAGCAAGTCATTCAAGATGGAAGTGTAACATAAGGCAATTTAAAGAACTGTTCCTTCCATCCGTCGTTCCTCCGAATCCGTCTGAAATCTGAGGAGGATTTTTACTTTCATGAAATAGCATTTAGCATTTGCCAATATCAGCGAGCCAATTATAGATATATAGTCACGTGCCACATAATGACGTTTTGGTCAACGACTATATGTACGACAGTGGTGCCATAAGTTTATAACGGACGTTAAAAATTCCTATCACGTAATGATGTCATAGCGCTGCGCATTACTCACATGTTTGTGGTGATGCTGGTGTAAACTTGAAAATGATAATAAACATTTATGTTACTGGTTTAAGTATTTATTATACTGTACTTTTAATAATTTTTATGCTATAAAAGTAATTGCTTCTTCACTTTATACTATTTTGGCTGACAACATTTTCATAGGAATACATATTTTTCATAAAAATTCAGAAAAAAAGTCTTCTACCACCATTAAAGGGTTAAACCCCAGTCAGTACCTGATCAGAGATCTCATATCATTTACTTCCACATTGTACGCAGAGAAGATCAGTGACCCTTGTCTTTCCTTCAGCTGATTGCATCTTTCAGTACCTCTCCTTGCAGATAGGGGGCAGACCGTCACCATGGTGCCCTGTGCTCCCTCTGTCATCTGCTTGGTTCAGCAGCACCTGTGCTGCTCCTAGTGATGCCGCTCGACTGTAATCTGACCTCTACACGACACCGCTCACGGTAACAGCCAATGGGGGCCCGCGCTCTCCCCTGAAGCATGTGATTGATTGGACGCTTCGTGGACACTGCGCCAGCCACAGCCGTCTCCGTCAGGCCCTGAATGAAGCGCTTCTCCCCAGCTGACAAGCCTGGCCCCCGCCCCCTGAGATCTCCAACAACCATCTGCTCTACCATGCGTACATCTCAGGAGCAATAAATAAATACAAGCCCCCCCGAGGCAAAACAACACAAAAAATACTGGTACACGCGGCCCTGAAACTTTATTTACAGCTCATCTGAAGCGTGTCATATTCCTATGCTGTCGATGCATTTGGCACTGCGCTCCACAGCGTTTGCCCTCGCCTAGTTTGGGGGGGGTGGTGGCTGCCAGCTCCCAGAATGCTTTGCCTCCTCCCCCGTGATGCCATTTCCTCCTTGGGCAAACCGGTCATTCATGCATTCCGTGGGAGGGTGTCGACCACCAGCTCTATTGGACAGCAGGCGTGTCCGGGATGGAAAAAACACACGGCAGGTGCTGTTGTACCATTGGGAAGTTACCCAAACTGGGTAACTTTGCATATGTGATGCTGTGAGCTGTCTTACTGTTGCTAAACGATTGTGGAATTTATCATGATGCCTGCACCGGATCTGAGAGCTCTACGCAGACGGTGAACAGACTCTGGTCGCAGGGCGTAGAAACTGGGTCACCATGATAACCTGGGACTCCAGAATCGGTCATAGTCAGAGCATTTGAGCAAAAGGTTTCCGGGGAGTCAGCTGAGAAACTCACCTCCATTGTCTTTCAGGTGCAGAGCAATCTTGGTGTCATCTGTATAGGGGAGAAAAGGAGCATGAGAGAGGAGCACATTGCATTATGGGAGTTTATTACCTCATCTCTGCACCATGAGTGTGATTAGTTAGTTAACAAATCAAAAACGGCTGTGGGATGTGGGAGAATACACACATGATTTGTCAATTTATAACACATGATACTTAATAAACAGTTTTTCCCTTCTCCCAAGATTAACTACTGTTTTAAAAACTGTATTTTTTCCATTGCATAATTTAATGTTTGCCTTTTGATTGCATTACACTGTAAATGTAAGGAGATAATTACTGTTAAAAAAAGAAAAAATGGTTCAAGTATGAACGCAGCGGAGAATGAGCAGCACATCATAAGTTAAAAGGACAACTTCATAATTTAATAACTTAAAATATGAGGTGTTAACGGGATGCCTCGGAGGGCCGGCGGAAGCCATGCGCACAAAGGGCTGTAATTATGCTAATGCAGCAGGAGATCAAGTGGGCTGTTAACAGGCAGAGTTTCACTGCACTCACTCTCCCACTAAGACGTGCATCTCGTATAATGTCCAGGTTTTTTGGTGAGAGAGAGGAAAGTCACCAATTGTGTAAGGAGGACCATGCAGACTGAACCTGCTTTGGACTTGACGAAAAGAGCTGCTGAAGTTTTTGCAATGGATGCGCTTCAACATAAATGTTTAGGATTTCAATGACTAATCTGTAAGCAGTTTCCTCTCTAAAACTTACCAACCACTAATCTTCTCTGGAAAAACTACAAGGCAGGGTTGTAGAACAGCAAGGGTCAAAGGTCAGGGCAGACGTTACCTCCACACCAAAAATCTCACCTCCATCTTCTCATCATCCCTGAGACATTGACTCATCTGCCACCCAACCCCCCAACCCCCCCACCCCACACACACGCACACACACAAACACTGTCCCACATAAACTCTGCACACCTCATCCCGCCCACCCGGACCTCTGACCTGATCCTCAGCATCCTCCCCAAGAACTGGAGCGGGCACAGTGCACTTGGGGGGGGTAATCAATCTGTCTCATGTGTCATCAAATCAGACAGGCGCTGTGTTGCACAATGTGAGAGCTGTCAGCGCTGATAGTGTCCCACAATGGCCCAGTAGCCCCCGGTGCTCAGCCCTGACCACCCACCCACACACAGACCTACTGCAGTGTGGCTACCCGCAGTTTTCACTCCTGCCTCATGCTTCGGATGCTGATTTCACTCTCTAGAAGAGCCACGAGGTTTTTAAATGGGCAACTTCTTAGGCCACACCCAGCATGGGACAGCGAAACACGGGGTCCTTGTAATGAGGATGCCGCCTCCACATGAGTTTACAGCCTGTGTCTGCAAGGGGGGGGGGGGTGTTTTGATACAAGCTTGAGTGCATTTCTGCGTATATGTGCCTTTCCATCGAGCCAACAGCTTTCACCTATTCAGTGTGGCCATATTATTCAGTTTTTACTAAACAATTTGCAAGTGCTAAAACACTGGAATACAGTGGTACCTCGGGTCTCGAACTCACTAGAACTCGAATTTCTCACTAGAATTCGATCTGAATATCAGAAGTCGAACCGTGAACGCTGACTTAATATACAGTAAATTGTACGCGCCAGGAAATGAGTCATACTACAATGCAATTCTTACTTGAATGCCTTCTTCACAGGCTGGACGATTAACCAAATAAAGCAGCGCAACATTACAGTAACTAACAATAACTTACGTGTACTATTAGAGCATTTATGTCATTTATTTAAACTTTATTTTACCATGTAAATTAACTGAAAACCAGTTCTCACTGCTTTACGTGATATTTGGGAGAAATAGCAGATCACGCATCAGAACTGCCTGGGATACAAATGTCATGCGTGTAACTAAAATCTTCAGCCAATAAGGGGAAAGGTGTGTCGTCACGGAGGCGGTTCCAATTTGTGCAGCCGGGTGAGAGGTCGCAATGCATCTAACCATAATGCATTGTGTCAGGATCAGAATGCGTTGCTTTAAGCCAGCGTTGTAAGCAAGTCGAACGCATCCAATGACCGGACTGGGGAAACAAACTGAAACGCGGACTTAATACAGAGGACTAATGACAACAACCAGAATCAGCTGATCACATGGGGGTCCCACACAAGGTTAACGAGGGGGTGTGGCACACGGAAGGAGTGGACGATAGGGGCAGGACAGGGGTAATGTTGAGATAAGATCTTTATCGTTTTGGAAGCCATTAAGAAAAAAATTGTTTTATCCTGTTCATTTTGTGTTTAAATGCTTAAAAAAAAAAAAAGGAAAACATATTTAGGTGTAATTTTGGGGGGCCGGGAACCAATTAATTGGGTTTTCTTATGGGGAAAATTCGATCAGAACTTTTTAGGATTCGATCTGGAGTCCAGAACAGATTAAGTTCGAGAACCGAGGTACCACTGTATTTCAAAATTGAATGAATGTTTATTGCACATTCTGGAAATGCAAATGAACGACGGATTTCACTTGTTTTCCATCTCTAAGATAAACATAAACTGGAAAAGAAGTTTGCAGAGTCTCCCCACGGGACCACAGAGTTGACAGCCGATCCAGATGACCAGCCAGTTCTGTTGGTGCAGTTCCAGGAAGATCAGGGGTAGGGAGACTGGGCCCACTGCAGGACGGCGTGCAAAGGGGTGACATCACCTTGAATGGGGTGGGGGGGGGGGCAGACTGGAGCCAGCAGGAGGATGGTAATGAGTTTGAGTTGCGGGCTGGCATGGCGCCATCTCTAATTTGGACCTCGTTACCCGACAG